AAATTGTAAGGGACCATGAGAAATCAATCCAGCAGCTGCTAGATGATGCAAAGAAGAATAACAGAAGACTGATCAGAGTCAATGAAGAAACAGGAGTGAGTGCAGATGACATAAAAAAACTGTTCACAAAAGAGATGGCAGAAAACTTCCCAAGCAGGAGAAAAGAACTTGACATACAGATAAGGGAGGCATATAGGACTCCAAATAGCCTTGATCAAAAAAATATACACATAGGCATGTAATACTTAGGAGTCCAGAAACCCAACAGAAGAAAAAAATTCTACAAGCAGTTAGAGAAAAGAAACAAATCACATACAAAGGAAAGCCCATTAGAATCACAGCAGACTTCTCAACACAAACACTCAAGTCAAGAAGAGTTTGGAGTGACATATTTCAAGCTCTAAAGGAAAACAGCCTCCAACCCAGATTGATGTACCCTGCAAAATTATCTTTCAAAATTTATGGAAAAATGGATACTTTCATGACAAAGAGCATTTTAGGAACTTCATGAATATCAAACCAGCACTCCAAAATATTTTAGACAATATCCTAGGATCACAACCTAGGAAGACAACAAGGATCACAACCCCAGGAAACCCAGCAGAATGAATCCATCTGGCATGACAATAAATTAAATGCAAAGGGGGAGAATCCAACAAAAACAAAAAGTCATAACAAGGATAAGTCAATATATATCAGTTATAACCATCAATGTTAATGGTCTCAATTCACCATTCAAAAGAAATAGACTGGCAGAATGGGTCAAGAAGCAAAATCCAAAACTATGCTGCATACAAGAAACACATTTAATTCAAAAAGAAACTCATAGACTGAAAGTTAAAGGGTGGAAAACAATACTCCATGTGACAGGAACCCGAAAAAAAGCAGGAGTAGCTAACCTGTTTGCAGATCAAGTGAAATTCAAACCAAAATCTGAAACACTTCTGGTCCCAAGAATTTCAGATAAGGGATAGTCAACTTGTATGTACAAATCTATTGTGAACAAGTATTTTCATTCCTCTCAAGTAAAAACTTAAGAACAGAACTGTTGGTTCTTAACAGTAATACAAGAAATTTATATATTGTTTTCCAAAATGGTTTTATCATTTTACATTCACATTAGCAGTATTAGAAAGTTCTAAGTGGTTCACACCTAAGCAGACATTTGTTCTTTTAAAACGTATAACTTCACGGCACAGAAGAGGTGAGCCACTCCCAGAACACAAGAGGAGGCTTCCAGGCTGGCACACCACCCCCGCCAGCACAGAGGAGGTGAGGTTCACAGGTGCCAGCAGCATCCCTCCATTGAAATGAGGAGACACATAAACAAGTTTCAAAACCACACTTCCACATCACATAAAACAATCCCAAAGGGAAAAGAGACAGAACACTGTGACACTCAACCACCTGGACTCCCTGAACTGGCAACAAAAGAGGATCTGGAAAAAATGAAATCAGAAATAATTTCAACAGAGATTGTACCCACAGTGCAAGGCATGATTAATAAATCTAGAGAGGAAACAGATAAAAAAAAAATAGAGGAGCTGAGAAACGTGATGGAATCCCAACATAGGAAACAAATGGAATCCATAAAACAGATATAAACAGATTTCCAGGAGATTCAAAACTCCATTGAAACTCTATGCAGCAGAATGAACCAATGTAAGGAC